ATCTACCGACTGCCAAATCACTGTCCAGCCAACTCACAGAGGTACCTGGAAAATGGTCCAGTCTGAAGTGTTTTTGAATTATGAAACTAATTATACCACCATCTGGGCATCCTGCTTATGCCTTTTGTTTTAAATACCAGCACACTTTCATAGCATGACATTTGCATGGTTCAGTTAAACAGCCTGATCTAAGTCAAGTAGCTGGATTTAGAAAGCTTCAAGAGATTTCCTTTATCCCCCAGCATCAGACCTCTGAGCCCTGTATCCTGATCTACATTAGCTGGCGCCCTGGTTTTGTAGCCTATAACTTCCCTTCAATTGAGGGGCCTTTTTATTGTCTCAAGCCACTGCAAACATTTGTTCCTCTATGGTATCATCTTGGTTAGTTAGAGTATTGATGGAATGTTTGAAGTGATGACAGAAATGTGCTGGGTGGGAATATAATTATGCATAAGCTCTGTAAAGCAGATGCTGCAAAGGCTGAGAACCCCCCAAAAATTGCACTGAATGATGGATGGATTGTACGATGCAAAAAGAGTGTAAATCTGAAAATTAACATCCAAGTCTAAGGTAATTGGTTTAACAGAAACATGCAGAAAATGATGAAAAACTCAAATAGATAAATTTGAACTATGTGGTAGGAAGTTTATTAAAGATGGGAAGATGGAGATATTAAGATGTGCAAATGGTGGTAGAAAGTTTCCGATTAATTTCTGATCTGCTGCAAGATCTCTTGAAATAAAGTTAAAATGGCCGTGTGGAAGCTTCTGTCCACTTGATTAGTTATACTTCCCCCTTTTCTCATCTTGCACCTTAATTCTATTGGCTTATTATGTTATTTCTTACTCTTTTCTGTACTTTGCCTAACATTACTTATCTCCCTTAGAAGAGAACAGCACAATGAGAAACTAGTATGTATCCATCCCATTTTGATTATGAGAAATGTCCTGATAAATGTAAACATTATTATATGAAGCATCCCCACCCACTTTTGAAGTAGCTATCTCCTCTTTCCTAAAGCACGGTACACAAATCTGCTGTAAAAGGGCAACCCTTTTGGAAAAATCCCTTTCATTCTATCAAGTTCCATATTTGCAGAAATTGAAGCAATACTACAAAACTATTTCATGGATGCTATTGTGATGTAGGTGTTTTAGAATGTGAACTATTCATGTTTTAGAGAAGGGAGTGGGGTAGAAAGAGAACTATGGATTTACTGAGACAAAAAATAATCCACAGAAAGTAGAAAGCACCACATTCTGAGTGACAAAACTAGTAATCTTCTTCCCAAATCTATTACCCTCCGAATCTCTTGTCCTACTAAGATTGGAGAATCATAGGAGTTTTTTGGAAAAGAATCTAGACATGACCTAAACAATGTTTTTCAAACTTGGCAATTTTAAGAAGGGTGGACTTCAGACTGTCAGAATCCTCCAGCTAGAACCGAAGTTCACACATCTTAATGTAGCCAGGTTTAAAAAGTACTGATGTAGATGCAAAATAGGAAGTGCTACCCTATCATGTGTGTATGGTCTACTATAATGCAAAAGTCAAGATAGCATCTTAGATTTAATGATATGGAACTGATACAATAAAGTTGGCACATCACATCATGAGTGCAATATCAAATGATGGAACATATGTGGGAATAAGATATCCCACATTCAAAAATTCAGATTATTCATTATTCCTTTTTAGTGAGCCTATCTCTGGCATCAAAATAAACTATTATTTCAGAATTAAATAAAATGCATCACTCCAAAATCCAAAGTTATACAAAACTAATCTCAAAACTTTCCAATAAACCATATCAAAAGCTTTCTCAGAACCCACAGAAATAGTTGTTCAGTCTTGTCTATTTTGAATTAAGCCAGCATATATCAAGTCTGGTCTAGATATGAACAGATAGCCTGTCTTTCAACACATGATGTCTTGCTATTAAATGCAGCAGTTCAAAATAACAATAGCAATAGTACTTAAGACTTATATACCATTCATGATGCTTTACTACATAGAGCCGTGGTGGTGCAGTGGTTACAATGCAGTACTGCAGGCTAACTCACAGCTCACTACAGGAGTTTGATTCTGAACAGCTCAAAGTTGACATCCTTCCATCCTTCCGAGGTCAGTAAAATGAGGACCCAGATTGTTGGGAGCAATATGCTGACTCTGTAAAACCACTTAGAGAGTGATGTAAAGCACTATGAAGCGATATATAAGTCTAAGTGCTATTGCTATTTATAGACCTCTCTAAGTAGTTTATAGAGTCAGCATATTGCCCCTAACAATTTTATCACCCTTAGAAGGGTGAAAAGTTGAGTCAACCTTGAGTCGATCAGGATTAAATTCCTGGCAGTGGGCAGTTAGCCTGAATTACTGCAATCTAACCACTGTGCCACCACCTCTCTTTGTCCTATATATGAGTTACTATGTGTATCAATCAGCTGGTTTCCAGTCCTCTGTATGCTGAACATAACTTGTGTGTTCTAGGCAGAAATATTTGGGTGGTAGAATGGGATACAGCCAAGGCAGTGGATGGCAGTGGCCACAACACAGAAGGAAAGGCACTGTAGGAAGGTGACTGGATGATAGTTTGTACTGCTGTCTTGGATTTCCAATCAACATATCCAATTAGCCTGTCTGTCCTCTTTTCTTTACCTCCTTTATTGTCATCACCAATGTCCTTGGCTTGAAGCACAGCATAAGGAGAGGTACAGTAGCTGGAAGACTGGTGGGTGGATCAATGCACAGGCAATGTGGAGAAGAGAAGTGCTCTAACTCTGCCCTACTTGCCCTGTAAGTTTTGTCTGGATTTTGTTTCAGCTGAAATCTGAAACTTCTAACTTGTTTCAGATTTTGGTTCTGCCAACAATATCCCAGGCAGAAGTTTGGCAGAACTTCCAAGAAACAATGTGTTTGTTCCATGTTCAAAACAAAACATGGTTTCCATTTCATGTTTATTTTACTGAACATACAAGGCAAACTGGATGCATTCACCCATGAAGTAAAGGAAATCACCTTGATAGAAATATGTGAGAACTATTATCTAGGCAAAAGGCAAAGACTTTCTTTAAGTCCTGGGAAGTAAGATAATAATTGGAAGTGCCTCAAGGAAACACTTATCTGATTCACTGGAGTATAGGAAGAAAGGGGTGGGATAGCACAACTAGGCTTACAAGATTATGTTATTGTACCTTTTCTTAATAAAGTATAGTTCTAATCTTCCTGTAGCCTTTTCTGATCTTGTCCACCTAGGCACAAAGTCAGTTAAAGAACCAGCAGCTGCATTTGCCCAAGATGCTGAGTTGGACCTGGGCACCGAATTGGACCAATTGACTGAGACCAGAGAGTCTTTCTTCTACCTTACCACCAACATTACCCTCCAACATTAATTTGGAATTAAGCGAACTTCTTTAGTTGTTTCTAATTTCCAACTGTTTTAATACTTAACTTTTTATTTTTCTAATACTCAATTAGAATTTGAGTTCCTGTACCTAGAATTATCTTATGCCCAGTCTTCTGAACAATAGTGAACCACTCTTGACTTTCTACACAATTCAGCTTGCTCTGCAATGATATTAATCAGGGATGACCTCTTCATACATTTAAGACGCTATCCGATTGAACAAAGGACCCATATAAGGCATCTTCAGGGCCACTGGCAGAATCCAGCACCCAGGAGCAGCTGCTAGAATCCTAACAATCCACAGCAAGGCTCCCAATATCTTGCCTCACTATTCACATGACCACTTCAGTTTCCTCCAATGCCCTCAACATAGCATCGTTTTGTGGGAAACTGAAACAGTAGGTCTAGATATAGATTTAAGAGCAACATTTTCATTTCCCTAATGCCCTGAAATGGTTCTACAAAACTGACTTTGCAGCGGCTAATAAATGTAACTCCCACATGGCCTTGAAAATCTGTCTGATGGTTACAAGAGTAGCCATCATAGCTAAGGGGGCTAGACTAGGGCTAGGAGATCTCAATCATGGGAACTCTGTAGCTGAATTTGGAACAAGCTTCATGGGACTGATGATGTGGAGAACAATTGGAAGCTGGTCTTGGATAAAAGTTGGGATATGAGTGTTATGAATAAGTAAACAAGTAAATGAAATAGCTGTTACAGTCTGATAATGTAGACCAGGGGTAGTCAACCTTGGCTCTTTTATGACTCGTGGACTTCAACTCCCAGAATTCCTGAGCCAGCACAGCTGGCTCAGGAATTCTGGGAGTTGAAGTCCACGAGTCATAAAAGAGCCAAGGTTGACTACCCCTGATGTAGACAATTTAAGTGGGTATCACCCTGCTATCACAATTCTGAATGAAACTTCCTTCCAAATTCAGGTGCTTGGAAATTCACCATAGCTGGTTTCTATGAACACCAAGACAGCTATATGCTTTCTATAGACAGGTAGTCCTCCATTTATGACCACAATTGAGCCCAATATTTCTGTTGGTAAGCAAGGCAATTGTTAAGTAAGTTGCACCCTATTTTACAACCGTTTTTGCCACAGTTGTTAATCATCACTGCAATTGTTAAGTGAATCCTGTGGTCATTAAGCAAACTTGACTTCCCCCATTTACTCTGCTTGTCAGAAGCTGGTTGGGAAGGTCACAAAAGGTGATGAAAAGACCCCAGGACAGTGCAACAGTCATAAGTACACGCCAGTTGCCAAGTGCCTGAATTTTGATGACGTGTCCATGGGAATACTGCAACGGTGAAAAAATTAGTCATCAATCACTTTTTTCAGTGCTGTTGTAACTTTGGTCACTAAATGAATGGTTGTCAGTTACCGACTACCTGTATAACCTACTTTGAATGTGTTTTTTTCTCTTTCCCTGCTTAACATTATACATCTTTATAATGCAAAATTTCCTTTAATGTGTTGGCAAAGGAGCTTTTGTCAGTAGCGCTAGCTATTTTAAGGATCCTTTGCTCCATTTAATGCAAATTATCCCCTACTCCCATTTTTTGCTACTTCATTATATCAAGGCCAGGCTAACTTGTTACAGCAAGAGCTTCCTCTTCCACGAGTGATAACTCCATATTATCACTTGTAGAGGATTTCACTCGGAAATTGAAAGATCCATACAGTTTGGCCGACTCCTTGGAAGCTGCAAATCGGTTCCTCCTGTAGAGTTCTCCTTTCCACATTTGGAGCATCAGTAAACTAGACAACACAACACCTCCCAAGGTCAACAGACAAAGCCCAGCAATTACACACCGATCTAGGTGAGCCCCAATCCGGGCACTCTTCTTCTCTAGGCGCTCCATCTCTCGTGCTGCCACTGTGCTGGGATCCACAGTTACATCTCTGGGCACCACGTAGGAAACAATCACCAACAAAATCCCAAGGACCAAGAACAAGATGGCACTGATAAAGCTGTAATCAATAGATTTTCCACCAGCAGCTTCGGAGCCAGCATCATCTTCTTCCTCGGAAATGCAGGAAGATGGATCGTGGGGCCATTCTGGAGGCATTTCTGTGTCAGGCTCAGGGTGGAGAAGGAACTCCTGGTCTTGGCAACAGTTACGATGTACAAGACTCCCTGGGTGATTTAGGTGGTTGGTGTTTTCATCCACACAGGTGAAAGACGTCTCTGATTCACAGCAACAGGCATTTTGGGGGGCAGTCTCCTTCTCTCCCTTTGAAAAGTTGGAGCAGGTGAAATGACCCATTGTCGTAATTTCTGGGGACAATGATGACACAGCAAGGAGGGAGAGAGAGGACTGAGCAGCATCTTCCTTGGCTTCGTGTACAGCAGCTTTACAATGCTGCTCACAGCATTCAGCAGTCATAACTAGGAATCTATTCTTTGCCCCACTTTCATCAGGCTGGCCCTGGCATGATGTAGCATGCAAGCCCAAACCTACACTGTGGCCCTCAGCTGATGGAGCTCCGTCTTTGGTGACTTGCAAGATCTCCATGGGCGCTTCAGAGCACAAGTCCGTTTTACCATTTACATTTCTGTAGTTTTGGCAAATCCAGCCAAGTTGCAACCTCAGTGGTTGTGAGGTGACTTCACCCACAACGTCTGACCTTTGGCTCCCATTTTGCTGGCTTCAGATACAGCCACCACCGCTCGGTTAAATAAATTTACTTGGAGGTGCCTTCTTTTTCAAGCCGCATTTGCCATAGGAAGAGGAGAAGCAGGTTCATCAGTAGATCATCTGTTGTGAGACAAAGGGAAATGGAGCAGAACTGCAATGAAGATTATAGTCATTACCCTGATTTTTATCCAGTATCTCTGCAAACAGAGATGGAAACAGTCAATGTGGAGGCTTTAACCAGCCACTTAAAAAACTACACTATGCTTATCTTAAACCAATTAGGCATTCTAATCCGCTTTTAGGAATTAACCTTTTGCAAATTTTGAAAAAAAGAAAATAAAAAGAAAGCTCAGTCACACAGATCCTTCAACACTTCCCGCACTCAAGGGCAAAACCATCAACCCCCTGCAAAATGCCATTCAAAAGGGCAAAGTCAAACTTGGCATCTCACATTCACCAGGACTCAAATGCAAAAAATCTAATCAGAAAGGAGCCAGCATAGTCCTCTGAGCTCAAGTCGCCCAGGATCTGTATTCTCCTGTGGAAATCTGAGCATCCCAGGAGGAAAAAAAAAGAAAAAAAAGAACAGCACTTCCTGGAATCCCATCTCTGCCTCTGATTAGAAACGCTGGCCATGAAATCATCCTTCGGAAACCTAGACGGTTCAGAGGGGCAGCTCTCAGCTTTCCTCCAAGTGCAGTAAGAGAAAGGAAGCAAGGCGCACAAAAACCTGAAAGAGAAAGTATGCGCGTGTTGGGATGGGGGAAGGGGCAGGGTAATCGGCTTGCAATTGATGCCGCTCCATCAAAGAGCGTGAGTCAACATTCACACAATACCTTGAAGCCAATCAGAGGCAATTTGCTAAGTTTCGTAGTTTTGTAGCCGAGGTGTGTCCGATCCCCCTCCCACACACACCTCGTCTTAACGTGCGGGGCAAATCCCGTCCGCTCTGCTATTTTAGGCTCAGTGTATTTTATTGTCAGAACCCAGCCAATGGGCTAAACCAAGGACCAGGTTAGTCGGGTGAAATGAATGGGTCCGGATCGAGGGGGAAAAAGACCGCTCCCTCCCAGCCGCGCGTCCCTGGGGCTTAGGAAAGTAGAGATAAAACTCCCGTCCCCTTTAATCTCCAGGCAGCGCCCGGACAGCCCTTCCTGCCCTCTTCACAGACCTTTTCCAGAGGTTTGACTCCATCGGGAGCAAAGCGCCGCTGCCGGTCCCCGCCGGCTCGGTCCAGGCGCCCCGAACCAGCACTTGTTGTCGCGGTCCATCCCCACGCGCCCTCTCTCCTCCTGCCTCCCTCGAGGCGAGAAGCGAGTGGAGAGCGGGGACAGGGATGCGCCGGCGGGGCGGAGCACTTGGGGCACTCTGGGAGATGTAGTCCTGCTGTTCGCGGAAAGCGAGCGGAATCGCCTTGATCGTCCCTTCAGGGGTGACGCCTGGCTTCGAGCACCGGTCCTGGCGAGGTTGTTTTGCGTTGACCCCGAGAATGGCCCCCGGGGCAAAGCGCTTGGTGTTCTGCTCTCCCCTTCTCTGCTGCACCAAGGATCCATGTCTCTAGAGAAGTTGCTTGATCTGGAGGAAAGGGAAAGGGAGACTTCCACGTAATTTTCCCTGCTGAGGAGAATGGCGTTGGTACAGGTAGTCCTCTCGACTTACAACAATTCATTTAGTGACCGTTCAACAAAAAATGGGCGCTGAAAAAAGTGACTTATGATCATTTTTCACACGACCATTGCAGCATCTCCATGTGATCGAAATTCAGATGCTTGGCAATTCAGTCATATTTATGATAGTTGCGTTGCCTTGGGGTCATGAATATCACCTTTTGCAACCTTCTGTCAAACAAAGTCAATAGGGAAGCCAGATTCACTTAACAACCATATTAGTAACTTAACAAATGCAGTGGCTTGCTTAATAACCGTGGCAAGAAAAGTTGTAAAATGGGGCAAAACTCACTTAACAAATGTTAACATAGAATCATAGGAATGGAAGGGACCTTGAAGATCTTCTAGTCCAGCCCCCTAACTTGAGCAGGAGACCATATACCACTGCAGGCATACAGTATAGTTATTCAATCTCTTATTGAAAATCAAAATCTCCAGCGACAAAGCACCCACAACTTCAGGAGACAAGCTATTCCACTGATTAATTGTTCTGGCTGTTGGGAAATTTCTCCTTAACTCCAGATGGATGTCTCTTTAATAGCAATAGCACTTAGACTTATATACCACTTCACAGTGCTTTACAGCACTCTCTAAGTAGTTTACAGAGTCAGCATATTGTCCCCAACAATCTGGATCCTCATTTTACTGACCTAGGAAAGATGGAAGGCTGAGTCAACCTTCATGAGACATGAAGGCTACTTTCTCAACCTGAAAGATCTCCAAGTTTGCTGGGCTTCAGTTCTCATGATGCCAATCCAGCATTGACATTGGAATTACAGGATCTGAAATACTAGACAGAGGTAAAGAGCATGAGATTGGAAGGGGAAGAACCTTTCATTGGCTTTTCATGAAACCCCCATAGCATTTTGGCCTGGAGAGTTAAATGGTGAAAATCTGGATTTGAGGAGCATTTTATTTTGTTTAAAAACTTGAAGATTTTTATCAAGGGGAATTCAATTAAGATACAAGTGCTCATAGAAATCAAATAGATTTGGAATAAAATTCCTTGAGCAGATAGGACTGCTGATAGTGCAATCCCACGCAGGTTGGTTTGCATCAGTGTTCAGTCAAAAAGTGGAAGGATCCACAAATTAAAGCTACACAGAGAACCAAGCATGTTTAAGATATAGAAGTGGACTAATTGGCTCTTTCAGCTTACTCAATTCTCATGAGGCTGAAATGGAAAGTTCAAGAGAAACTACTTACTTTGTTCATTGACATAGGAGCTTGTATCATGGAAAGAAGGGAAATTAAAAGGAAAAGAAAGCTGAGTTAGAGATAGTTATCACCTTAAAAATTCTTGGCCACCTGCACAATCTAATAAAATGTGCCAGTCTTTCTCCCTTCTTGCTTTGTTTTCAAATTGTCAGTAGTAAAATACTCAGACCCATTTTATGCTCTGTTATAATAGCATACTTTTGTTCTGCTGAAGATGTCAGGTGTGGAGGTGGTGAGAAAAAAAAAATGCATAGCAACACAGAGCCTTGTGTTGCCACAAATAAAGCTGGCTAAAAGATGAATCAGGCAATGGGAGAAGGAAGAAAAGTTTGAGAAAGAGCCAAAATTCCCTTGCTTGGTTTCTCACAATGTTGGTGGGGCTTCACAGGGGCATATTCCCCACTCACTGAGGGCTCAAAGGATGGTGTGAAATGGCTCCTTGTGCATCAGACCAAAAGGCAACAGATTTTTCTGATAGTTCACAGCATCACAAATGCAAAATAGCTGCAGAGGAGGCAGGTTTCAAGTTCAGCTGACAGTCATTAAAAAAGAAGGTGGAGATTTTTTTGTAGGATTGCTAAATTACAGAGACAGAGCAGGAGTTGTGTCTTAAGAAACTTCCAGGTTCAATTAGAAAGAGGAGAAGGATTGCAGATAGCAAGAAGAATATATCTCTGAATACGTGGGGATAAATTCTTTACAGTCTAGGATTTTTTTAAAAAAAAGAAATTATCCCACTTTTTTTTTCATATACAACTCAAGGTGGTGAATATACCAGTCCTCCTTTCTCCTCCTATTTTCCCCACAACAACGATCCTGTGAGGTGAGTTGGATTGAGAGAGAGTGACTGGCCCAAGATCATTCAGTTGGCTTCCATAGTTAAGGCAGGACTAGAACTCACAGTCTTCCGGTTTCTCAGCACCATACCTAGTCCCAGTATGATAAGTGTTGGCTAAAAAGTGCCCAAGATATCTCAGCTGGCCATTTTCAGTATGTGTTGAAATTTCTAAATGTGTCCAATGGTTCCCTGGCTAAAAATATTAGGGATACTATCAGTCCTACAAATAACTTGATAAATTCTGGTTCATAGAAGAAAATAAAAGAGTTGAGTCAAGAACAGTTTTGAGATAGAGCAGTATTGGAGTGAATGGCAAAATTGTCCTATTTAATCTTGCTGTTAATACTAGTAATCCCTGTGAATCTGCTATCAATAAGACTACCTCTTGTTCTGTTATTTCACTACCTCTTCTTCAACTGTCTTCTTCAATTCACTAAAGCCTATGTATAGGTAACCAGACAAAAAGCAGATACCAGTTCCCATGTGAAATGAGTATAGGTAGTCCTTGATTAACAATGGTACATAAGAGTAGAATTTCTATTGCCAAGGGACATGGCCATGAAGTATATCTCACACGACTGCACCACTTAGTGATGGAGATTCTGGCATTTCCAGTTGTAATCATTAAATAAACCACAATGGATCATTAAATGAGGATGTCATGTGGTCATCAATTGCAACCAACTGCTGACTTCCCATTTATTTCCCCGGCAAATGGCAATCACATGATCACAGGACACTGCAATGTCAGACCCTGGGACACAGCAGCCATAAATTTTTATCATGTGACCATGGGGACGCTGCCACAGTTGAAAATGTGAAAAATGTTCATAAGTCACCTTTTTCAGTGCCATTGTAACTTCGATCAGTCACTAAACGAATGGTTGTAAGTTGAGGATTGCCTGTAATTCTTCTAGGAAATTCCAAAGTGTGGTTCATGTAGGCATGGGGTATCGAACTCAGCATCAGGTAGAGTTTACCTTAAATCCCTCAGTACAAATTGATGAACCAATATGGATTTTACATGTACTTTCTATTTGAGCTGTCCATGGTCCTGATTGCATTCTTGATAAGTCCTATAACCAACTCTAGGCTCAGAAATGAGTCTCAGAAGATATATCTCAAAAGTAAATAAATGTTTGATCTTTAAATGA